ATGAGGGTATGTGGGCTAATGAAATCATGCCATATAAGCTAGTTGGTTTGACAAAAATTCCAACAAAAAGCAAATCTCAAAAGTTCCCTCCATTTTTATGAGAGCATGTGGGGCTAATGAAATCATGCCACATGAGTTAGGTGGCTAATTACACATTTACCATATACCCTTAGGGCTAGTGACAGTAGGCCTACAATAGAGGGTCAGTACTGAGCCCATATCTCTTTGTTTTGGTTATGAACGAGTTAACTACGCATCTACAGGATGAGGTCCTATGGTAACATAGTTTCAATTGATAAAACTAGAGATGGAATAAACGCAAAGTTAGAACTCTGGAGGGATGCTTCAAAATATAAAGGTTTTAAAATTAGCCAGGCTAAGAAAAAATATATAGAAAGCAAATTAAGTAATAATGGGAGTAGAAACGTAGAATTAGTACAAATTTATGGCCAAGAAATACCTAAAAGAGATAATTTTCAATATATTGTGTTGATAATCATTGAAAAATGAGAGATTGAAAAAGATTATCATAGAATTAAAGCTGCGGGAACAAAGTGGAGATGTGATTTAGGAGTCGTATGTTATCGTCGCATACCAATGAAACTGCAGGGGAAGTTCTATAGGATGGCTGTAAGACCAGCCATACTTTATAAGACAAAATATTAAGCGATCAAGAAACAACATAGAATGAGTATAGCTAAGATGAGAATGTTGAGATAGATGAGTAGTACAACAAGAAAAGATAGAATTTGGAATGAATACATAAGAGGAAACTTAGGGGTTGCTACAATAGGTGATAAAATGAGGGAAAGTAGACTTAGGTGGTCTGGTCATGTGTAGCACCAACCTAGAACAATACCGATTAGGAGGGTGATTTGGTTCAAGTGGAAGGCTCTAAAAGGGCAAGGAGAAGGCCTCAAAAGACATGAACAAAAGTAGCGAGAGATGTTATGGTTGACTTATAGTCTGACTGAGGGTGTGGCCCTTGATAAAACGGAATGACGAAACATGATTCGTGTAAACCACCCCAAATAGATGGGGCAGAGCTTAGATGATGATTAAAAACATTTGCCCTTTTCTATTCAGCATATTAGACAAGTCAGGACCAAACAGTCTATCTGGACAAAACCGATCAAATTGTTTTAATTTATTTTTTTACAAAACCCAATTTTTATTTCGGACTAGACTGACCAAAGAACCAACAAGTGGTCTGACCAGTTAGGGCAGCCGGTACGGTCTAGTCTTAACAACCATCTCCGTAATGACCATGCTTGACAAGCTACTCTAACTAGTTGGACCAAAATTCAGGCCTAGACAGTATGAAGTAGGTAAAAACCAAAGTTTGGATACCATCATTGAAGTTGAAGAATCCTCGATAAAAGTGTCCCTATAGTGATTGTGTTATCAACAAATTACAAATGAGATATCTTCAACTAACTATTCTAACTTAGAAACCTTCAAACTATGCTGTGACGCATTTTGGAAAATTGTACTTCAAATATTTTGCCATGATTGTGAAAGAAAAGGTCACAAGATATCCCTTGCATAAAACTCTAAGCTCTTAATGATCTAGGTATCACTTGCATCAAACCCAAGATCAGTGTTTTGTTCCAAAGGTATTAAAAAAAAAATTCATTACATATTTATTCTAAGCATTCAAACAATGCTCATCCTTAGAGAGAGAATATTTGACACTAAACAATTTGGTTCATTTGCAATGGATTTGCCTAAAGGTTGAGCTTGACATTAGCTTAACACCTGAGTCACCAACCAACGATGGCTACGGTCATCCCTTGTCAAGGTCAGCGAAGAGAACAATGGCAGGTTAGTAGCACAAAGGAACCCTGTGTGAGATAGGCAGCTAGGAGAAACACATAAGGCAATGACAAAAACCTCAACATACGACCCTTATGGTGAGCGTGCATCCCATGTTGAACATGGATTCCCTTTGTAGGTATACCATATACATGTGCATGTATGAGAGGACCTTGAAATGAGATGGCGTGTTGCGCATCTTAACTAACATATCTTTTCCTTGAGGGAGCACATGTAATCCACGTTGTGACTCAGTTATACCTTGGTTGGTTTTGATAGGCCAATCATGAGCAAGGAGACATATCAGTCATAGGCCTATTGCATTAGTTCTATTTGAATGTGACTAAAGTGTAGTTATCATAGATTACCCAGTTATAACTTGGTGCTTTGTCCCACGGCATGGCCACTCATTCAGACTTTTCCCAATATTGTATTTTCTCTCAGTTTTTAGCCACTAGCCACTATAAAAATTTGTGTTTTCTGTGTCCACAAAAGAGATAAACTTTTGGATTTATGGTTTTTTTATTACCAGAGATGGATTTGGACAATATATTTGTTCTTTGGAAAAAATATAGAAAGGAAATTCAATATATAATTTGGTGTGAGTGGATACACGTGAACTTGTCGCGTGGCACATGGATCCAATAGAGAATTATGTGGAGCCACTGGTCATTGGTCCGATGTGAATTCCAAGAGGACTGGAAGAGAGTCAGAGGGCCACAATGACCATCGGTGCTCATCTGAATAGTAATTCTAATTTAAAAGGGATTAGCAGACCTTATATGTTTAAAATCTAGTTTCTCAAAGATTCACCAAATCCAAGTGGGAGGAGGGACATTCAACATTTCTGAATAAGGAAGTTGGACATCTCAATCATATTCGAATTTGGATCTCATACCCCAATCTTATTTGGATCCGAAATTAATATCCCACTTGTCCAAGGTTTTTACTCATTTTTCCTAGTTGGACAAGAATGCGATGTGATTATAAACTCAAGCTTCTTTTAAAGACAATTTTGTTTTATAAACTCTTTCAAAGATTCCCTGAAGAACGTTCCAAGATTAAAAGCCAGTGGCAAGAATTGTTTTTAAACTAGTATTCCATTTAAAGACAAAAAATATTGAAAAGATTGATGGAATCCTAGTACTATTGAGAAAAACTGTTTTTGGAATTCTACATGAATTAGAATTGCAAAGAGCGTGCAATAAAGCAACTGATGATAAACGGGATCCCTGGGTGGATGACTGAGGTTTAAGGCCTCACTCACCGCACAGATATCCTACTGACACACAAGTAACAGTCCAACTAAAACTATGACTTAACAGTGAACTGGCCCAACTCTTTCATAACATACATGTGATACATGTGGATGGGAACCAAGAAAGGGCTGGAATGTTGAGAGAAAAAGGGCTTTTCCCATTATTACTGAGAAGGAAAAGGGGAGTTCTCCATGGCTGTTGCATGCTGGAAAATAAAGGAGGCACAATCTTCTATGTGCTTCACATCAGAGTTCCCATGTCTCTAGGGTTGGAATGTTGGAGTGAAGACATAAACACCTCCAAGTCAAACATGAGATGAAGAAGAAGATCGTCAGTTGTTACAGAGAAAAAGCATGTGGTCAATCTTAAAAGATGTGGATATTCAAGATGGAAGAAGAAGAAAGTTAGTTCTTCATGGGCCTGTATGTGAGACTATGGGGGTCTCCTCAGGAAATCAACTGAGGTAGAAACACAGAATTCTTCATGCGCCTGCATGTGACATTAAGAGGGTCTTGTCAGCACATCCACGACTAAGGTATGTTGATCTTCACCCTTTTTTTTTTGGGTAATTCAGTGGGGAAGCCAAGCCCCTACCCTTTTTTTTTCAATAGATTGGGGAGTTACATTTTGAAGGTGTTAATTGCGGGTGTAAGTGGTAGGAATAGACACCACGATGTGGTAACTAGGTGTGGGGATGCTACCACCCCGACCCCAGCCCCTTGCCTTGTTGATCTTCACGCTTTCCCTAATCTAAGAACGTATAGAAGGTACATTTAAGAAGTCCCTTCCACATGAGAAAAAGGACAAAAATGTTTCCCTATTGATGCGGCAAAATCAAGGAAGAAAAAGGAGTTCTCTACAGGCTGGTCGAGGTATGTGATAAAGAAAAAGCTTCTCTAAAGGCTGTTGTACGCGATAGAGGAAGGTCAGAGGGTTCTAGAGATGCACAAGTGAAAGAAAATTGTGATCGTCAGCGGGCTACATGCACATAAGGAAGAAAATCTCTGGACAGGAAGAGAAACCCCTACAAGTCAAGTCCGAGGAGTGAGTTGATTTTCATTTTGAGTAGAAGACTTCGCCCAAGGTGGTGTGTCGTTGATCCATGGAGTTCTAGTGTGGAGTGAACCAAGTCGTAGGGGTTAATCTTAGGCAACTTTCACAGGAAAGTTTTCTTTGTTCTTTTGTTTCAGTTTTGCGCAGATGTTGATGACAATGTGGCAGCAACCAGATCCTACAGCACTGTCATTACTTTTTTTCTTTTTTTTTTTGTATTTTCTGAAGTTTTAAAGATGCAAAAGTGTATGGCAGCACCTGCAAGTGGACTTGGGAGTGCAAGCAATAAAAGTTGTTAGAAAAATTCTTAAAATTCAATACCTTGGATGCACCACTACAGCTGCTCACAACCAAGCCCCTAACAAGAATGAAAACCAGTAAATGATGACGACAACAGGTTATATTGGAAAAGCAATGGAATGGGTAAAGGATGTCACAACTTCGAACAAAATAAACTGCAATACAACCATTTTAGAATACAATAAGACACGAGGGAAAAATGACCTCCATCACCCTCTTCAAGAAAAGGTACAGTAGCACAGGAGACTCTCAGTGAAACTGAATAAATAGATAGGAAAAAAGAACCCTCTCTTTCTCATAGGGATCACTGCATCTCAACCTCTAAGCTGCAATTCAGTCCCAAGCTTACATCACATATGCATAGAACTTTTATCTAGAGAAAGTAGTAAATTTCAAAGTTTGTGGAGATCACGTATGCGATGAAGTAAGTAATATACACAATTATTCAAAAAAGGCTTAAAAAAATGTTTCCCAGTTGTTATAAGTGTCCACAAGTTTTACTCTACAAGAAGATCAGGAAGATTGTATTAAACATCTAAAACATGATATTCTAATGAAAGTACAGAAGCATACCTTCTTACTAGCCATAAAATATATTCTGTCTCCTTTCCTTATGGTTCCATCAGTAACGCGAAAATAAACAATAACACCTCGATATGGATCATAATAGCTGATGACGAGATAAACAATTTAAGGTCAAATTGTAGCAAGTTAAACATGTAACAGAAACAGTATGCAGTAAATAATGGCAAATACCTCATTTCCAAACTGATCTGCATGAACAAGATTTCAAAATTTGCAACCAATATCAAATGGATAAAAAGAAGAAAAAAAATATAGTTTGATAGGTACACCAAAAAAAAGATAATTCCTACATAGGCACTCTTAAGGGCATAAAGTGTATAAAATGCATAAATTGCCAAGATCCAATCACAATGTCAACTTGTACAAGATTTTGGAAACGCATGTGAGTTCTCATTAAGTTGAATAACATGAGATCAGGATCCTGTATAGACATAAGTGTACTTAAAAGTGAATGTGCTTCTCATACACTTAAAATATACAAAAGAATATAAGAATGACAAAAGTACAACAACAGGTGTACAACCTATAACTGTGCAGTCTAAAGAACCCCCACCATACAAGTTTTCAACATGGCAAGCAAAGGATGTGAATGAAGAGTTTTGTCCACTAAGGACTAATGGAATCATAGATCATAGATCATATAGCCTTTAGAGAAGCAAATTGCAAGTATTAGAAAAATGATGTTCATATGAATTGTTAACACGTTTCATAATGCCTAAATTTTTTTGGAGAACTAGGTACACACCCAAAAACCTTTTTTGGAGAACTAGGTACACACCCAAAAGCAGAAATTTCAGCATGCATATAAGTTTGAGCAATGTTCCAAAAGGTGGAGGTGGCAGAGTAGGTGGCCAGGGGCCTAACCGCCTAGGCGGCGAGCAGAAAACCTGGGCAGCTGCGGGGGGGAGGGGGGGATATGTTATTTGCATGTGTTTGTGTGCGTGTGCATACACGTGCATGTGAGGCCCCGTATGAACTGCTTAAAGATCATCTTCTTTTTTCCTATCCTATATGTATAGGAAGAGAGATAGAGCTTATGCATCTGTGTTTGTGAGAGAGAGGTCTTGAACAATTGGAGTACGTTCTTCTTTTTCTTCTTCTATTATGAAGAGAGAGAGTCTGTGAGAGAGAGGAACCTTGCATCGAACACTTGAAGGTCATCTTCTTCTTTTTCTTCTTCTTAAATGTAAAGAGAGAGCATATGGGTCTATATGTGTCTTTTTGTGTGTATGTGTGTGTGTGTGTGAAAGAGAGAGAGAGGCCTCGCATTGAATACTTGGAGGCCATCTTCTTTCTCTTATAAGTCGAGAGAGCACATGGGCCCATGAGAGAGAGAGAGGAGGAGCTCTAAATAAGCCTTAAAACTTTTTTTTTTTTTTCTAATTAGCCTTACACCCGTAGGATGAGTGTAGCTCGATGAGGATGCTAAGATGGATGAGTGGCAAGACAAGAATTGATAGAATTTGAAATGAATAAGCGACAAGATGAGAGAAAATAGACTTAGGTGCGTTGGGCATGTGTAGTAGACCCAATACAGTACCTGTTAAGAGGTGCGAGTTGGTTCAAGTAGAAGGCTCAAAAAGGGCAAAGAGTAGGCCCAAAAGAACATATAGTTGAAAGTAGTAAGAAAACATATGGGGACTTATGGGCTTATTGAGGGTATAGCCCTTGATAGTGTAGAATAGCAGACCAGGATTCTTGTAGCCGACTCCAAATAGTTGGAAAAAATTTATGATGGTGATGATGATGGATTAGGCTTTCCTTTTTATTAGCACAAGGCGGGCACCCAGATCCACCTTGAGCCCACCAAGGCGAGCACCTTGGGCATGCCCAGCTAGACCCACCCGCCTAGGCATATTAACAGCCAGGCGACCACTTTTTCAACCTTGATTTTGAGAAAAACTTCAATAGTCTAAATAACAAATAGATTTTAAACATATAACAATTTAGAGTATTTTTTTAATAAATTTTTGCACACCATAACCAAGATTTGAAATTAAAAGCCTAGACTTCAGTTTTAGTTGCAAAACATATTTACACACTTCTTCAGTTACAAATCTAACCAAAGACACATTTATGTGCAGAAATTTACAAAACAATATATTCAAATAAATAATCAACTGCATTAAACATACCCTAATGTGATGAAACTAGGGTTTCAAAGAAACCATAGACTTCAGTTTTAGTTATATTGAGTTATTTATTTTATTTCAAAGGAATTAAAAACCATATTCAACACTGATCACCTAGAGACCACAAACGCTGCCTGTTACCTTATTTTTCCCTCTTTTCTAATTCCAGGAGGCCAGTAGTACATAACTATGAGAACTTCAAGGGTATGGGGTGTGGGCCCCATGCCAAGGAAACCACCGAATACCCATGTGCTACTTTCCCTTTCTATCTCATCATCACATCCCTTCTTTATATATTACTTTAGTTGTGATTTATTTTAGGAGCAATAAATCTCAAAACCAACAGTTTGGTACACCAAACTTGAGTCTTTGACTTATTTGTATGATTAAACCCAAAAGTATGCTACACAACTGGTTCGGATTCTCAACAATTTTTTTGCATCTGAGATATTCCAGGTAGCAAACATCTGAGAATTTAGTATTTGTTAGACTATAGCTCTCTATCAACACTTCCAACACCACTCCCTCTTTCCTCAAGGCGCACTAACTCACATAAGAATGGGAGCTGTCACCTAACCTTCTATATAGGAAAAAACAAGACTTCGGGCAATATTCCCATTTGTCTTATCTGCGAAGACAATAGTTGTTGATTCAATGTCTGATGTAGGACAAAGTTATTCTCATTTTTATTTTTGTTTAACTTCAAAGGGTGTACATTTTAAATTTACTTTTAGGGTTTTTAAGTTCCTTACAGTTCCGGGATTTTCCATAATTTTAGGATTTTTAGGAGTTGCTTAGAAAAAGATTTACGAGTGTTTATGGAATATTTTGTTTTATCAAGGACAAATTATCCTAACGAATTTTGTATTCAAGTTAGGACTTTGGGTCATTTTATTAATTATATGAACACTTACTGTCTCTGAAATATTAAAACGACTACAAAAGTGGCCGGCGGATCCTAGAGGGCTCATTCATGTGGGTTATTTCTAAGAAAAAAGAAAGGAAAGCTCCAAGCAATTGAAGCCATAGGCAGTGTTTAAGGAAAAAAACCCTAGGGTTTCTTCTAGTTGTTGTTGTGTTTAGCCTGAATTATTGGTGATTTTAGTGCTTTGTCAAAATTCATGCATAAATTTGGTATTAGAGCTTAGGTTTCTTCAATAGCAAGGCCAAGAAAATGCAACCAAGTATATGGTGTGCTAAACTTGGACCAAGGTTTGCTACATTCAGCCTAGATCCTACAGATTTCAGCTAGGTTTTGTGATTCTCTGCCTAGGGTTTGTGATTTTGGTAAACCCATAGTACTAAGAAGAGGCTGTGGAAGGAAGGGCTTTTGATCCGATTCATGATCCTAGAGATGAAGTAATTGAGGAACTTAAACGACAAGTTCAACAGCTAATATAGCAGTTCGGAAGTTTCAATCATGGGCAAGACGGTGAACTCAAGTACACCCTTTTCACCGTCGCACTCCAGAATCGAGTGTAGAGAAAAGTGATAGAGAACCTAAACATGGGGGACATCATTCTATGATTTTTATTTGAAGGAGGACATTCATGGTTTTGATAAAGATTGTATCCAAAATCAGTAGGTAGATTTGGATTTGCAACCAATCTTCAATACATGATCAAATGAACAAGATCTTTCAGGAAATCCGATCTATGATAAGGATCAAGATGAAGATGAAGATGTTTCGAAAGAGGATCTTGCTTGTGAAGAATATGGAGAAAAGGCAGCAAAAGACTAATCAAAATTATGGCCTTTAAAGACCTCAAGAATATCGAAGAGGTGGAGCATTCAAGAGATTTTGGGCATTGGAACCAAAGTAGCGCAGCGAAACTGAGGGCAACTCATAAACCACAAATCGCGGCTTTGTATTTAGAGAGTAATGAAATAAATCCTGAGAAAGACTCTGAAGGCTAGAAAATTGAAGTTTCTTACACAATTTTCGATGCGAGTTTAGGGTGGTTGAATTTGATAAATTTATATCAATTCCGCAATACACATATTAGGATCCGTTTCTCGAGGATTTCTTCCTACCACAAATAACCTTTAAGCCAACAAAGAAGATGAAGGTTGAATAAGGGGTTTTGATGGTGAGTTCTCTTAGGACACTCCAAAACTTGATGACGTGTTTTCTCCAACCAAGGAAGATTGATGCAAGACATAATTATTATCACCTTTAATTTTTATTTAATATCAAAGAATGTTATCAAAGAATGTACATTTTACTTTTACTTTAGGGTTTATTTTTAAGGTTTATATTTTATCAGGATTTTTTTGGGGGGAATTATAGGAGTTGTTTAGAAAAGTACTAAGTGTTTATGAAAAATTTTGTTTTATCAATGGTATAATTGTCATTATAAATTATGCATTTACGTTAGGAGTTTTGGGTCAATTTATTAATTGTAAGGACACTTATTGTCTTTTGAACATTAAATAGAATACAAAAGTGGTCCATGGGGCTAAGAAGGCTCGAGGTCATTCATGTGGTTTATTTCTAAGAAAAAGAAAGAAAAGCTCCAAGCTTTTGAAACCCTACGCAGCGTTTGAGGAAGAAACCCAAGGTTTTCTTCTACTTGTTGCATGTGTTTGGCCTGAATTATTGTTGATTTTTTGTGTTTCTTCAAAACTTCTACATCAATGTCTAATCTTCTAGCCCCTATTTCAATCGTGCCAACACTCCCAAGACCTTACATGATGGTCTCTAGTAATACCTCAGCAGCCTACCACAAAAGCCCCAACATTGTATTTCACCATGTGTCCTGCGTGCATGAACTATAGAAACTCACATGTGGCTTCTCACATCAATTTCTTCATCAAAACAAAGAATTTCAGGAAACTTGACAAATATTTGTAAAATACAGTCTCAAATAACATCCAAAGGGTCTTGAAACAGTAATTTTCAGACCACTTAGGATTTCAATAATCCACAGACCACGACACTTGCCATTATTCATCAATAAGAACGCACACATTAACAAAAATGGAGGTAACATAGCTAATGCATGCCAAAAGAATAGAAGCCTAAAAATATGAATATCATTGAACAATGGCCAACCGGCATGAAGATATTAGATAAAACCAAATAAATGGCATTGGATGGTCTACTACTTCCGACACAATTCAAACATCACTCAAAATAACCATCTTACTCAGAAGTTGAAGTCTAAAAATTTACAATATTTCGGTAACGTTAAATCCAAAACCCAAAGAAAGTGTTCCCAAGACCAATTTAAGTTATGTAAGACAAGTCACAAGAGCATTTCCTTGACTTTAGTCTGGATGCACAACAAAGATCAAATACATACCCATAAGGATGCACTCTAAACATGGATGCAAAATTACAGGATCTGACATGAATTGTACCAGTCCTGGCCAATCTTCAAGTCCTAATCGTAGCATTTCTTTAGAAAAAACTCAAAGCCTTGAGAATTAGGTTATTTTAATCATTAGCATTTTTTAACTATGGTATATTTTGAAAGGCTTGTCCCCTTGGAAAGCACACCATTGCAACTCATTATCCACAAACATATGGAAAAACTACTATTCCTTCCAAAAAACAGTAAAAAGACAAGAAGGAAAACAATAAACTAAGCTAAATTAGTAAAGTAAGAATATTCCAAAAAAATGATTAAAAGACGTTCAGTTAATTGCCAAGGACATTTGACAAGAAAAATCAAGACTAGACTAGATTTTATATACAACAAATAGAAGCAGACATCAAGACCAAGGCTCCAACAGGGGGAACCACTAAATGTGCAAGGTTCCAACAACTAATATGCCATATCCATATTTCAAAAGCTATGCCAACCACTGTTTCCTTCGTCACTCCATTTTATATATAATTCAAAGGACATCTTATTTTGACAATTCAAAGCCAAATAAACAGTAACAAGAAAAGAATCAATAACAATGGCCAACATACCAGCTTTATAAAGTCCCAACTATCAACTAACAAATTATCACATGGAAACCGGATCAAATGAGTAAATGGATAGAGCCACTTCTGCTAAACTTGGGTGACATATACCTATCAAATATAAGAGCCCTAAATGGCATTGCAGCAGTATCTTGGGGAGGGGGGATCCTCGTTACAATAGCATCTAGAATTTCTGTTATACCAACTCCCTCCTACAACAGATATAAGTAGTTACTCAAACTAAATGATCAATCTTTTCAAACAAGAAAATGCCAAAACAAGATTTTAAATAAAAAAACCCACTCCGTTCATGGGTAGTGAAAAAAGATCGACATCAATTGCAAGAAGAGACAAGAACTTATCTAAACTAACCTTTGCAGAGCATTGAATGGCACCACGACAATCTAAACCAATTATCTGCAAATTTATTGCAACAAAAGTACATGAAAAGTCCAACCAAAACGCCATAATGCAATCACACTTGATTCCACCTATAAGACAGTTCTCATACAATTTTCCCACAAGTGATCTATTTCTTACAAAAAACTCAAAAGTCTATGTTGTGGTTTCCACTACATTTCCATAAAAAAAAAATATGCACAATATTGAGACAGTGTCCACCAATATGAAAAGAAGATACATCCATGGTCCAAACTAACCTCTTCAATCTCTTGAATAACACGATTTGATTCAGCACCTGGGAGATCGATTTTGTTCAGGACCTAAAACAAATGAGAAAGACATCAGAATAAGAAGACAATTGAAGCTAAACATGCAAAACCATCTGAAGTAAGATCCACAAACTCAACTATGATTATGTATCTATAGAATACATCATAATAAAGAAGCTTCAGCTTCAAATCTCACAAAAATAGGTCCACTGACATTGAATCAAATTTCCTAAAGAGTGTATTTGCCAGAAATGTATTCAGAGAAACTTCTCTTCGACCTATATATGTGTGTATGAGAATGTTTTAGTAGCTTAGTCAAAAATAGAGTGTTAGAGTACTTTTATGGGTGCGATATTCCCTCTCTTACAACCGAATAATCCCAAAATCTATAGCACAAGATGAAATATTTAAAATTGAAAATGTACATCCATGCTCATTCATATCTCATAGGCATGTCTTATTACAATCATTCATATTCAATAATTCGTAAGCATTCACTATATCATAAGTATGTCTCATTGAAACCATGCATATTTATGAAAATTTCAATCTCTTTATGAAGGGTTTAAGATTTATTCAAAAACATATAAATCAGTGCACCACCTTCCATGAATCATACAACAGTTTGGGATTCACTACCATTTCCATCAGTGATATACATATGCGAAAGGAGCCATGGTATCCAATTCGTAAGAAATTGCAACGTAATTTCAACATCAACTTGAAATAGACATATATATCTTTCAATCAAAGGAAACTTGAAGTTATTTGAGCATCATTTGGTCAGTCAAGGGCTCAATGCAAAATGGACTACAATCCTGGAATCCTGCAATCGATGGAAAGTACTCTCCAATCATATCATGTTACAAGGTCTTTGTGGACCTTTACAAGCCATCCTCAAGAACTAAGGAGAGCCATTAGAATTATAATTATAAGGAGAAATAGTAAAGTATGATCGATTGTAACTAGACAGGTTATGCAACCCTAAAGCGGACATTCACCTGGTGTGTTAGAACATGCACTAGCAACAAAACTCTGATTGGCATACCATAAAATGCATGTAAACTGAGAGACTAGAGACAATCACAAATAGACATGCCATTTTATGAATTAAATCTCCCAAGATGCTACAGTGGTCTAATCATTATAGGGTTTGCGCAACAATATGTTACTAAATTGTTGAGAAGGGGCCTCCTATTCTTAGGGGCCTTCTATTCTTAAGTTCACATCAATCCAGGGCAGGCAGCCTAGAAAAGGCTCTTCCTGCCTATTATGTGCCAAAAAGGGCATAGATCATTGCTATCTTCATTTCCTTCCATCGTTTGAAAACTCGACATGCCTAGGAAGCCGGGCAGCCAAAACACCTAGCCGAGGCTGAGGCGGGCGGCCTTGCTCCGGGGCGGCCTTGCTCCGAGGCGGCCAACGCTCTGCCTAGGCGGTCACCTCAAGGTAGGTGCCTTCGAACAACTTGGCCAAGGACCAAAAAAGGGCCTCGGCTATGGGCAAAAACATACCAACGCCCCCCCACACCCCCCGGCCTTTTTTCCCAATATAGGGGGGAAAAGGGTTTTGGAGGAACAATCTAGCCCCCCAAACCCCCAAAAAGCATAAGCCCTCTTTTTTTTTTGTAATGTTAACTGCCTCTTAATAAACTTATTAAGAGGGCTTACAGGTTTTGGAATTATATCACTAATTTGTCGCTACTCTAATAGAAACTAATGGCTAATTGGGAGTAACTAATGGTTAATTTGAGGAATTGGGATGTGATTTCCAATGATTATTTTGGAAAGATGGCTTCTTTTATTCTTTAAACGTGATTTTGAAATGATTGTTGATAATAAAAAGGACTAGTCTCGATGAAATGCGGAATTAAATGTGCATGGTACTCTCACAAATTATGGTTAGTTGCATGTTTTTGGTTAGATGGAAGATTAATTATAAACATTAAGAATTTTTTCTTTCTAAAATGTTCCGTTCTATGCTAAGTCTTGGCTGCTTGCACGGTCTCTTGCTATGGATTGCTTAGCAGCAAGGCATCAGATTGATTCCATTGGAGAAATTATGGTCTTGAAGATATTCTGCCCTTTTAAAAATGGTCGCATTGAATTAATGGCAGGTCTCCAGCGCTCCGATCCTCTACGTTGGAATGACATTTACAACCTGTACCCTAAAACCCACCCCCCTCACAGGCTTTCGCGCTCTGGGCATCCTCTCCCTCCTCATTCCAAACCTTTCCCTTCTTCAATCCCCAAGCCAAACCCGTCCACTGAAACTCTTCAACAAAATACTTACGCACAGGCTGTCGCTAGGCCGAAAAGAAAACCTGGGAGTATTGAAGTGCCTCTGGTCAATCTCTCCCACTCATCCTCCCCCTTTACCTAGTCCCACTCTACTGGGTTCTCTCCCCCCACACCTTCTCCTTTTCTCCCTTTCTTTGTCCCTTCCCATCCTGAGGAGGCTTCAGCAAACAGATCTAAGCTTCTAGCGTCTCTACTAGGAAGCTTCAAACCTGCACGTGATGACCAACGTGGAATTGAAAGTTGGGCTAAAAAAACCTTGAAGGAGCCCAACCTTATTTGCAGACGTCTGTCAAGTGGAGATTTCCTCTTCTCCTTTCCTTCATTAGCCGCAGCCCACCATGCCTTACAGGAAGGAAAAAATCTATCTTTCAAAGGGGCTTCGTGCATTCTTCGGTCTTAGTCGCCAAAAGAGGGCTCCTTCAGGAAACAAAGAGTTTGGCTAACCCTAAAACACATCCCCCTTCATGCTTGGTCTCCTGAGACCTTTCGGAGAAGGGTAGCAGCCTGTGGCAAAGTGATCTCTATTCATTGGATCTCCCTTGAAACCCTACCACTGGGCTCGATTCGACTTCTCCTGGAGGTCTTAGACACAAGTCAGATTCCAAATACCATCTGGTTAGAGGTGGAAGACCTCTACTACCAGTATGTATTTCGTGGGAGTAGGCCTCTCCACCCTCTGCTCATTTCCTCTCAATGCCTGCTCCTGCGCAACCACCGAAAAAAATTTCTCAGCCTTGGACTGAAGTGATCCGGCCGTAAAAGACATCGCCAGGTCTGCCCGACCAAGCCCAGGAGTTTGGGAGTATCCGAGATCAACACCCAAGGACAAAGCTTAGCTAGCACCCATTTGTTCAGCATCCTACCCTCTCCAAGCCTCTGACCCCGCAGCGACTTATTGACCCGAACCTCGAAGCCAGAGACAAAACTGAGCCTTCTCCAGCTGTCCTCTCCTCCCCTACTAAACGGCCCAGTAAAGAGGTTTGGGTCAACACCCCACCTTCCACTCCCTCTATAGGCACTTTGGACAAATCCGGCCCATCTTCTTGGTCTGCCCTTCTTCCCTCCCCCACCGACTCAACTTTTCAAACCTCCCCATTATTGCCTCCCTGTAATCCCTCTGCCCCTCTCTCCACATGTCCCTTCAAGCCTGCCAACTCTCCCCTTGAGCAGTGCGCGAAGCTTCCACCAACTCACCACATGGATTTGTCCGTCCCTCCATCTCCTCCATACCCCCTCGAGCATGTCTACTCATTACTCGGGCAGCCCACGCCGCCTTCATCCTCCCTCCACCTGTCCCGGCCCTCATCCCCTTCTCTCTTCTGAGATAGCTGCCAAACCCGCCGACTTCGCCGCCCCTGCCTCCCACCTAGCTGTCTCAGCTTCCTTCGCACCCCCTCTCCTCCCCGTCGTAGTTTGACTTAGACGTCTCTCTGCCGTCCAACCTCCCTGTTGGAAAGGACATTCAGCCGCCCTCTGCCCGGTCTTTTCCCATCTACTCTCCATCCTACTCTCCTACTCCTAAGAACGAGTTATACCCCCATGTTCCCCCCATCTCTCCCCCTCCTATTGAGGGTGACTTTTCGAGTCCCCCATGCCCCTCTATCATAGAACCTCAGCCTGTTCGGTCTTACTGCTCTCTTTCCCATCCCTCGTCTTTGCCCTGTGCTTTTACCCCTTCAACCCTCCCAAGCCCAAACCACCTCTCTTTGTCGGTGGCCCTTAAACCTTTTCCTCCCCCTTCCCTGTTAAGCTCCCTTGCCCCTCTTCCAATCCTTTCTCCTTGCATTTCTTCCCCCTTACCCTAGTAGCAACCCTCAAACCTACCACAGGAAGTTCCTCCCCCGTTAGCCTTGCTCTCAACCAGTCAACAAACAGTGACCCTACTCCTCTGGGCTTAGTTATTGTACATACCATGGACCATCCCCCTCCTCACCTACGTCCATCGCCAACTTGCTGGCCCCTCACTCTAAGTTCACCCCCCACCTCGTACAAGTTCACAGTGTGCATACCCTCCATGTGGCTTGGCCCTCTTCCTCTCCTGTGACATTCTCCTCTTTTTCCTCTATTCAAACCTACCATTATATCACCTACCTCCCCTCCTATTACGAGACCCCTTCCTGTGCTCCCCTCTCCTCTTGATACCTCAGTACCCCTTGTTTCTCCCCTCAAATTCCTGCCATCCCTAACAATAACCCTAACTAGTTTCAACTTTCGCAATCTCTTCAGCCCCTCCCCTCTCTACCTCATGATCTCTACCCCTCAAATTCTCCCCCGGCGGGTCAGGAAACAAAGTCCCTTGTGACTCCTGCAACTCCCATCTCCCCCCCTCTGGCCTTCGAAACAACAGAGGAGGTTGACGGGGATGAGACAAACAGGGACGAGGAGAGGATGATAGAAATGTATAGAGTAATGGGCTTCGAATATGAACGACCCGAAGGACCGGCTCACAGATTTTTAACAGCCGACTCTCATAGTAAGATGCAGGTGAGTTTCAGAGGTCAGAGAGAGCTTTGCAATCTTTTCACCTCAATTCCTTTTGAGGGACAGCCTGCAGATAGCCTCTTCCCTACTTCCAACTCAACTTCTCTGAGGAGGTCCCCCAAACTGGCCGCCTCCTCTTCGCGCAACCTTAAAAAATGAAGCTGCTAGTTTGGAATGTTAGAGGTCTGGGACAACCTTCCAAGAAGGAGGTCAAGGACCTAACATCTAAACACTCTCCTGCTGTACTGGCACGCATTGAAACCAAACAAC